GTAGCCTGATGGAAGAAGGCGGGGTGATGGGGGATAGTGGGGTGGTGGGGGAAAGGGAAGGTTTGAGGGGATACATGGGAAGGATTAGATGGCATATAGGAGAAGGTTGGGCAATAGGAGAAGGTGAGGGGGTAGGGAGCTGCTAAGTGCTGGGAAATGTTGGGGTGATAGAGGAGGGCGGGGAGATGTCGAGTAAGATGAGAGCTTTGAGAGAAGATTGGCTGGAGGTAGGAGTGTATCGGAGGGTGATAGGGTCAAATACGGGGTAGGCCATCTCTGGATATATTGAAGTGGGGGAAGACAGAGTCAAGTATTCAAGCATAAAATACGATTCGTACAATATTATAACTACGGTTAAGTTATATTACTGGTGCTACAGCTATATGACGAAGCATGTGGTCGTGATTTCTAGGATGGCGTGAACTGGCTGGCATTCCTCAATAAGTACAAGCTGCATGGTATACTATGTGATGACATGGGTCTAGGCAAAACTCTGCAGTCACTCTGCATCCTAGCTGGCGATCATCACCTACGCGAAAAGGCCTACAAGGTGAGAAATGCGTTAGCTGCTAAGTTTTCTTTTTTACATAAATCTAAATTTACTGACATGTTGAGCCGACAGCAGATTCGAGGTGTCTTTGTCAAGCCGAATAAACTTGCTCTGAATAAGCTTGTCAGTAGTTGTCAGTAGTCTAGTAGCCAGCGTTCTAACCTTGCTTCCTCACTGCTGCAGAATAAGCTTGTCAGTAGTTGTCAGTAGTCTAGTAGGCCGCGTTCTAACCTGCTTCCTTGCTGCTGGCTGCAGAATAAGCTGTCAGTAGCTTTCAGTAGTCTAGTAGCCAGCGTTCTAAGCCTTGCTTCCTCCTGCTGCCAGAATAAGCTTGTCAGTATTTGTCAGTAGTCTAGTAGCAGCGTTCTAACCTTGGCTTCTCAATGCTGCAGCATAAGGCTTGTCAGTAGCTGTCATGTATGTCTAGTAGAGCGTTCTAAGCCTTGGCTTCCTCACTGCTGCAGAATAAGCTTGTCAGTAGTTGGTCAGTAGTCTAGTAGGCCAGCGTTCTAGACCTTGCTTCCTTGGGTGCTAGCTGGCAGAAAACTTGTCAGTACGCTGTCAGTAGTCTGAGTAGCCAGCGTTCTAACCTTGCTTCTTGGCTGGCTGCTGCAGAATAAGCTTGTCAGTAGTTGTCAGTAGTCAGTGAGCCTAGCGTTCAACTTGCTTCTCCCCCCACTGCTGGCTGAGAATAGCTTGTCAGTAGCTGTCAGTAGTCTTAGTTAGCCAGCGTTCTACCCTGCTTCCTCACTGCTGCTGCAGAATCAGCTTGTCCTAGTTTCGTAGCTCCAGTAGCGCAGGCGTTCTATACCTTGCTTCCTTGCTGCTGCTTGCATGAATTAACTTGTCAGTAGCTTGTCAGTAGTGCTAGTAGCCAGCGTTCTACGCTTGCTTTCCTGCTGCTGCTTGCAGAATAAAGCTTGTCAGTAGTTGTCCAGTAGTCTAGTAGCCAGCGTTCTAACCTTGCTTCGCTCATGCTGCTTGCAGAATAAGGCTTGTCCAGTAGCTGTCAGTCGTCTAGTAGGCGCAGCAGTTCTAACGTTTGCTTTCTTGCTGCTGCTGGCAGAATACGCTTGTCAGTAGTATGTCAGTAGTCTAGTAGCCAGCGTTCTACCTTGCTTCCTCACTGCTGCAGAATAAGCTTGGTCAGTAGCTGTCAGTAGTCTAGTCGCGAGCGTTCCTAACCTGCTTTCCTCCTGGCTGCTGCAGGAATAGCTTGTCAGTAGTTGTCAGTTAGTCTATGTCGCCAGCGTTCTAACTTGCTTCGCTTGCTGCTGCTGCGAATAAGGCTTGTCATTTAGCTGTCAGTAGTCTCAGTACCCAGCGTTCTAAACCCTGCTTCCTCACTGCTGCAGAATAAGCTTGTCCATAGTTGTCAGTAGTCTAAAGCGCTTCTAAGGCTTGCTTCACGGTGCTGCTGCAGAATTAAGGCTTGTCAGTAGTTTCAGTAGTTCTAGTAGGCCAGCGCTTCTAACCTTGCTTCTTGGCTGCTGCTGCAGAATAAGCTTTGTCAGTATTTGTCAGTAGTCTAGTATCCAGCGTTTCTGAACCTTGCTTCCTTGCCTGTGCTGCAGAATAAGCTTGTCAGTAGTTGTCAGTAGTCTAGTAGCCAGCGTTCTAACCTTGCTGCTCATGCTGGCTGCAGAATAAGCTTGTCCGTAGCTGTCAGTAGTCTAGTAGGCCGAGCGTTCTAACCTTGCTTCTCACTCTTGCAGAATAAGCTTGTCAGATAGTTTGCAGTAGTCTAGTCAGCGCAGCGTTCTTAACGCGCTGGCTTCCTCACTGCTGCTGCAGAATAAGCCTGTCAGAGTTGTCCAGCTAGTCTAGTAGCAGCGTTCTAACGCTTGCTTCCTTTTGCCTTGCTGCGCAGAATAAGCTTGTCAGTAGTTGTCAGTAGTCTAAGTAGCCAGCGTTCTAACCCTGGCTCTACTGCTGCTGCGAATAAGCTAGTCAGTAGTTGTCAGTAGTCTAGTAGGCCAGCGTTCTAACAGCTTGCTTCCTTGCTGGGTCTGCTGCAGAACAGCTTGTCAGTAGTTGTCAGATAGTCTAGAGCCAGCGTTTCTAACTCTGCTTCCGCACTGCTGGGCAGAATAAGCTTGTCAGTACTGTCAGTAGTCTAGTCAGTCAGCGTTCTAACGCCTGCTTCCTCACTGCTGGGCAGAATAAGCTTGTCAGTAGTTGTCAGTAGTCTAGTAGCCAGCGTTCTAACCTTGCTTCCTCACTGCTGCAGAATAAGCTTGTCAGTAGTTGTCAGTAGTCTAGTAGCCAGCGTTCTAACCTTGCTTCCTCGCTGCTGCTGCAGAATAAGCTTGTCAGTAGTTGTCAGTAGTCTAGTAGCCAGCGTTCTAACCTTGCTTCCTCACTGCTGCTGCAGAATAAGCTTGTCAGTAGTTGTCAGTAGTCTAGTAGCCAGCGTTCTAACCTTGCTTCCTTGCTGCTGCTGCAGAATAAGCTTGTCAGTAGTTGTCAGTAGTCTAGTAGCCAGCGTTCTAACCTTGCTTTCTCACTGCTGCTGCTGGCTGTACAGGAGACGGGGAGCGCTGACTGCATGCCGCTTCCCTCGATCGTCGTCTGTCCGCCGACGCTGACCGGTCACTGGGTGTACGAGATCCAGAAGTTTGTCGCCTGCCAGTACCTGAATCCGCTGCACTACACGGGGCCGCCGGTGGAGCGAGCGCGTCTCAAGCCTCAGCTGAGACGCCACAACCTCGTCATCGCCTCGTACGACATCGTGCGCAACGACATCGACTTCTTCAGGTGAGTCGCACGCGATCTCGAATTGATGATGACGTGGTGCCATCTATCGTGAGAAAACGTTGTTTATGAAATTGGGAACGTGAGCATCTGAAAGTGGAATTGGGAGATGCACGAGACTAAAAAAAGGAGTAGAAACCCGATTTTTTTTAAATGTGTAAAATAGAGAGGATTTATAAAATGCCATATGATTTCATATGTTATTATCATACCATTGTATGATATCATACCATTGCACATGTTATTATCAATGCCTTTGCAAGATATTACCAAACCATTGCATGATATTACCAGGAGTGTAATAATATAGTATTAGTATAGTATATAGTGTATAATATATCTATATTATTACACTCTTGATATTACCATAGCATTGCACATGATATTCTCGCATCACTGCATGACTGACCTATCGTGCTTGCAGCGGCGTGAAGTGGAACTACTGCATCCTGGACGAGGGGCACATCATCAAGAACGGCAAGACGAAGATCTCGAAGGCTGTGAAGCAGCTGCAGGCGTGCCACCGCCTCATCCTCAGCGGCACGCCGATACAGAACAACGTGCTCGAGCTGTGGTCGCTGTTCGACTTCCTCATGCCGGGCCTGCTCGGCAGCGAGCGCGCGTTCACGGCACGCTACGGACGCCCCATCCTACAGAGCCGCGACGCGAAGAGCTCCATGAAAGAACAGGAAGCAGGTAGAGAGAGAGGAATGGGATGATGCACTGTAGGGGGGGGGGTGGTAGATGAGGAAGGTGTGTGGATGGGGTAGGTGGGGGGAGAGGAGGGGAGGGCAGGGTGATAGGGGAAGGTAGAGACAGCTAGGGGTAGTAGAGTAGTGGGGGGAAGGTGGGCTGAGGGAAGAAGGCAAGGAGATGGGGAACGCATAGCGATAAGGGAGGGTAGGGGTGATGGAGGAAGGCAGGATGATTGGGAGAAGATGGTATGCAGGTCTCAGTGTGCTAACAGATGGTAGGGCTGTCATTGGTATCAAATTATTTCGATTCGATTATTGATATGTTTTTTTTAGATATTTCTATCCGATTCGATCCGATTTGATTTAATATGTAATGCGTGGATACCATAATAAAACTCTAATTTCAACCCCTGCATAACTACGAAAATATTGATACAGAGCCGTGAAAGTACAGTAAACTCATACATAACTTATTTAACTATGCATTTTATACATCGCTGTGCTTAAATGCAACATGGGCGAAGTATATTTACCTGAATTCAACCAGATTGACCTAGCGTTGCGGCGATGGCGAAGCAGCAGACATGCTTTTCCGGTAGACAGATTTTATTATAGAGATCAGTGAGACAGGATAAGCATCAGAGACAATAGAATACCACAGTTATTGATTGTCTCTGTATGCATGCACCCTGCACTACTTCCGATAATGGCGGTGCTCATTCAAAAATGCTACCGATGCTTCGCTGGCTACATTTTAGCCACAAAAAGTAATAAGCAACACTCTTTTACCAGAAAAAGATGCTACCAACTCTTATTGTGATATACTGTATCGGATCGCTATTTTTCGATTTATTTCGGTATCGATATCGGATGCAAATCCATCGCGATTTATCAATGAGGTGGGTATCGATGACAGTCCTAACAGATGGCGCCACGTTCTGTACACAGGTGTGCTGGCGATGGAGGCGTTGCATCGACAGGTGCTGCCGTTCTTGCTGCGTCGCATGAAGGACGACGTTCTACAGGACCTGCCTCCAAAGATCATGCAGGATTACTACTGTGAGCTGAGCACCCTACAGGTAGGCTTGCTCCAATGTATCTGCTCTCAGGGGGAAAGCCAGCAACTCGGTGCTAGCAGCATCATAACTAATCATCACTATCTGAAGTCTGGAATGCCTTGGCTTTTGCACGATTATTCACTTCAGAAGGATGATATTTTTAGACGTAAAAATGTGGTTTAATTCGTAGCCAAATTAAATATGTGTGTCAACGATGTCACCATCTGGTGTGACTGACACAAGTCAACATTGTCACCCCTGGCCTGACACGAGTCAACGTTGTCACCCTGGCCTGACACGAAGTCAATGTTGTCACCCCCTGGCATGACACAAGTCAACATGGTCACCCGGGGGTCACCCTGGCATCACACGAGTCAATGTTGTCACCCCTTGGCCTGACACAAGTCAACGTTGTCACCCCCTGGCCCGACACGAGTCAACATGGTCACTCCCTGGCGTGCCATGAGTCAATGTGGTCACCCCTGGCATGACACGAGTCAACATGGTCACCCCCTGACGTGACACGAGTCAACGTTGTCACCCTCTGGCGTGACACGAGTAAACGTTGTTGTGACGTGTTTGTGCGTGACGTTAACAGGTGCAGCTGTACGAGGACTTTGCTAAGAGTCGTGCGCGGGTGGACGCCGAGGAGCAGATGGGAGCGAGTGAGGCTGCGCGTCCGCACTCGCACGTCTTCCAGTGCCTGCAGTACCTGCGCAAGGTCTGCAACCATCCGCTGCTCGTGCTGCAGCCCGACCACCCGCTCTACCGCCAGATCGCGGACCAGCTCGATCGCACGGCTACGAGTCTGTGCAGCCTACAGGTGTGTGTGTGTGCGTGCGTGCGTGCGTGCGTGCGTGCGTGCATGTGTGTGTGTGTGCTGTCCTCCCTGTTGTATGTGTATTTGTGTGTGCGTGCGTATGTGTGTAACTCCGTATGTGCGTGTGTGTGTGAGTACATGCACGTGTATATATGTGAGGTCTGATATGTACCAACATTGTATTATATCCCAGGTGTGACTGAGATTGATATAGTCGATTCGTGTGTATATATATATATAAATATATAGGTGTGTGAGTACGTGCGTGCATGCATACGTGCATGTGTGCGTGCGTGTGTGCGTGTGTGTGCAAGTGCAAAGGAGGATGTAGTAAGTAGAGTGTGTATATATATATTATATGTATCTGGTGTCTTTACGAACGCGTCACTGTATATGCTGTGTAACTGAGGGGCTGGTGTTGCGTTGCAGCATTCAGGCAAGCTGGTGGCGCTACGTCAGCTGCTGCAGGACTGCGGCATCGGCGTGGGAGAGAGGGCGCCAGCGGAGGCTGTCGTCGGCGAGCACCGTGCTCTTGTTTTCTGTCAGTTCAAGAGCATGCTGGACATCGTGGAGAAACACCTGCTGAAGTATGTTATCCCCCGTAGCACTGGCACAGCCGAGGGGGTGGAGGGGGACAGGGTTAGAGTGTTCGTGACAGGTGGGTGGAGGTGGACAGGGAGGCTGCGGGTGGTGGTGAGGGTGGTTGTGTGTAGTGGGGCAGAGGGGAATGTTTAAGAAAAAGGGTGTTGGTAGGAGGGGGGAACAAGGTGCCGTGGTGGGGCAGAGGTGACTGTTAAGAAAAAGTGTTGTTAGTGGGGGGGGGGGGCAAGTGGGTGGTGTGGAAGAGGGTGGCTTGTCAGAGAAAGGGTGGTGGTGCAGGACGTTGTCGGTGGTGGTGAATAGGGTGGCCGTTCAGGGAGTTAGTATGTGTTATGCCCGGCGCACACGTGAGTTATTTTACTCACGTAAAATGACCGCATGAGTCATTTTACTCAGCGTGTGCGGCAGATTTTCGTTGAGTACTTTGACTCATTGCGTCTTTTACTTTGAGTAAAATACTCATGTTGTGCGGCCGGGCTTTAGTAATGTGTTGAGCGTAGACAGACAACTGCTGGGGTGTGGTTGTGAAGAGAGTATCGAGAAGTTATAAGGAGGTGCAAGTAATTGGGAAAGGGTTATAAGAAAAGGCAGAGAGGCAAGTGCTGCAGACGAAAAACTAAAGTGCCACAGAGGGAAGGGTAACAAATCGAGAAATCGGGACGCCATGTAGTAACGACCCATTGCCCCTACAGGCCCACATGCCCTCGCTCACCTACCTGCGGCTGGACGGCAGCATCCCTGCCGGCTCTCGTCATTCCATTGTGAATCGCTTCAACAACGACCCGTCGATCGACGTGCTGCTGCTGACGACGCATGTCGGCGGACTAGGTCTCAACCTCACCGGCGCCGACACGGTGATATTCGTCGAGCACGACTGGAACCCGATGAAGGACCTACAGGTTAGTGCTCACACGCATATCTCCTAGTTGTCTCTCGTGCCTTTATTTACCCATAGTGATGTGGTTAGAAGCAGGTGGTCCCTGACCGCAAACCCATATGACCCTCTTGTACTGTCCTGCATCTGTAGTGATGTGGTTAGGAGCAGCCAATCCCCCTTACCACAAACCCATGCGACGCTCTCATACTGTCTGCATCTGTAGTGATGTGGTTAGGAGCAGCCATCCCTTACCACAAACCCATGCAACGCTCTCATACTGTCCTGCATCTGTAGTGATGTGTGTAGGAGGGCCGCCATGTCCTTAGCCACAAACCCTGCGACGGCTCTCATACTGTCCGGTGGGCAATCTGTAGTGGATGTGTGTTAGGAGGCCCAATCCCTTACCACAAACCCATGCGACGCTCTCATACTGTCCTGCATCTGTAGTGATGTGGTTAGGAGCAGCCAATCCTATAGTGATGAAGTCTGGGGCAGGTGCTACCTACTGTAGGTCTTGGCATAGCCACCTTCGCATCTATTTTTGATGGTTGGAGTATTGGCGATTGTTGGCATTATTTTGTGTTTTAATTTTCTCTTCACGAATGTTGATGGGTGTGTGGAGCATGTAAGATGTATTATTATGATGAAGTGCTCGATGTTTTTATGTGGTAACGTCGGTGCATGTTTAAGCGACACGTGGTTATGTAGTTGGCTTTAGCGATGCATTTGGGTTCTGTGAGGGGGGGGGCCACACCGATAAGGCGATTGATCGAGCACATGTACCGGTCAGAAGAAAGTTGTCTACCGTCTACCGGCTTCATAATAAAGCGACCCTGGAGGATGAAGATATGAGGCAAGTTTTCTCAGCAAATAATACTACCAGTAGAGGTCAATACAGATTGCCATTTATGCATACTAACTGAATGCTTTGGTCCTTTCATGTGGCAAGATTAATGCGGCAACGATTTCCCTTTGTGACGAGTGAATTTACCCGTTTCTTTCGCGTTACTTTTTCAGTCTTCAAAAGTTCAAGATCAACATTGCAAACACTGTCATACGTCAGGACAACTCAAGTCTGCTCTCCATGGCAACCGGACCAGTTGTTAGTACCTTTCGCAGATTTGGAACAATGATGGCAGGAGACGAAAGCAGACAATCCGATGAGCTCGAGACCGCGATGAAGCAGGTTCTGGGAGAACTTGAGATCTGTGGACTAGGAAAGCAGGTATGAAGAGGAGCTATGGACCTTGGAACGCTTTATGCAGGCCTTGCACAAGTGAGATGCAGTACATTAGCAGCTTTATGCAGCT